GGATATTTTTCATTGTTGTTCATCAAAGGAACACAAAGATGAGAGGGCTGTTCTTGTGACCTGCAGGGGATGTGCCATGTTTGTTTTCCTCTTTGAAGATGACAATAGTCCAATTAAGAGTGGGCCTCTGCGGGTGGTTTGGGAGGAGGTTTGGTGAATTGAAATGTCTCCTCGAGGGCAGAGCCAGCAATCCCAGCAAAGACCAAGGAACCAAATGAGTAAGCTGATTTCTTGCAACCCATTCAGATAAGGAGAGGATGAAAGATCATTCACATGTGCGAGAAGACTGCAGAACAGTAGTTTTCTGCAGTGTAAATACCTGGAGATAATGGGATTGACCACCTTCTCACAACCGAGGTGGAGCCTTTAAATTTAAGGTCACTTAAACTTAAGTGATTTAGACTTAAGTTCAAGGTCACTGAAGCCTTTAAATTTAAAGTCACTAAGCTTGCAAGCCACCCTTTCTAATCACTTTCAGAAATTGCCTATTAATCATCTTAAAGCTCTTAGAGACCTTCCGAACAAAAAGTTTGAAAAATTAGATGAGTTTATCTTGAACTCTGAACAAAAGAAAATGTATTAAAAGCTTTAAAAAAATAATTTGAAATAAACAGGAAAAAAAACTAAATAAGGTTTTGATCTCAGAATGTTATATAAAGGTTCAGATAAATTTGGAACGTTGACTTTTGCCATAAGACTTTGGAACTAATTATAAAAAATAAATACTGTAGCTTCTTGTGGGAAACAGACTTATTTTGGCTATCCTGACTATTGTAGGTCATATTAAAGATAAGTTACTTTATGATTTTAGAAATTCGACACCAGAGGGGATTAAAGATTATAAGTAGAAGAAAGAAAAAAAAGTGCAAGCCTGTTCTTGATGTCAGTATGTTATGGGGACTGGGACTTACAAAATAACAAAAATATTATCAGAAACCCTAAAAGATACATTTTAACAATGGAGCCAGAAATTAATATCTAAAATATCACTGCTGTCAGTAATGATGTCTGCTTCTAGGGATAGAGTGTATTCAAGAGGTGTTAATAAAGGAATGATTGATGTGTAACACATTTTATCTGACAAGATAAAATACTGAAAGTGAAACTACAAATGACAGGCCAAGATAATCTTTTGGAAAAGGACACTAGATAAGCAAAAGAAACTGGATGAGACTTTAAAAATTAAAAGGGAAATGCAAATGATAAACCAAGAGAATGACCTAGAACAGTGGTGGTGAACCTATGGCACGCGTGCCAGAGGCGGCACTCAGAGCCCTCTCTGTGGGCATGTGTGCCATCACCCCAGCCCCGCCTCCCACTACGGCCCCCTCCTCACCAGCAACCCTCCCAGAGGAGAGTCGCCCCCTGAGCGTAGCCCGCGCAGAGTAGTGCAGCCAAGAATATGGCAGCTAGGACAAGACTCCACCCTTGCGCCCTGTCACACACAGTTGATGCTACGGGATGCGGGCAGAGGGCATGGCTGCCATGGCACTGCTGGGTCACCTGGGCGATTTGCGGCAGGCCATGGAGGCAGTGGGTAGCCTTATGGGCGGGGGAGGGGCAGGGGGGCAGTTTTTGGGCACTCGGTCTCTAAAAGGTTTGCCATCACTGACCTAGAAAATGTTTTCTTATTGGATCTATAAAAAAGAATAAAAGAGAAATCAAATCCTTCAATAGTTTCTAATTGAATTAAAGATTACAACAGTTAGAATAAAGGAATGAATATAAAGTTGATTTATCTGACTTAAGTTTTCTTTTGCAAAGTTCTGGCAACCCTTTATGGACTTTTTGCTGACACTAGGATTGAAAAGTTGATATTTTATGGATTTGTGTATAGATAAAGAATGAGATAAGAGCTGAAGAGATATCTGTTTGTAAACTTATAGGAAGAGAAGAGTTAATAAATTTGCTTATACTTGTTATGATGAAGGTTGGAAGTCCTTTATATGTTTCTTTTTGTTTTTCCTACACTTTTTATTTTTTTCTCTAAGTTTAGTTTGTATTAGTTTTACTATTGTAATCAAAATTCTTAATAAAAATTATATTTTAAAACATTGTTCAGTCAAGAGCATTTGGGTAGAAATTCAAGGAAGTGGTGACTACAATGATACTATTCTTTGCTATAAACTGCCAATCAGGCATACCTAAGGATACTCTCCTCTTGAACCAGGTAGCCAAATTTCAGGGAGAAGAAACATATTAATGACGGGAAGTAACCTGACCAGGAATGGAAAATCTCCCAGATTCCTCAGTGATCCTGCTGTTTTATTTTCCAAAAGGATGAGGAAGAGACAAGTGGATCTGTTCTCCTAGGCCAGACATGTCAAACACACGATGTCACATGACGTCGCGCAACGTATCGGAGCTTTTTCACCATTGCCGGCAATGGGGTGGGCGTGGTTTCCCGATGACGCATCCGGCCCGCAGATTTTTTATATTGTTGATCTTGAACGTTGTATGCTGCCCAGAATCGCTATGGATATCTAAAATTATTTAATAAATAATCTGGCTGTATATAAGATGTAACTTCTGGATGAATGCAAGTCTTTTATGTCTGTGTCTTCCTAATTTTTTTAACCTATAGGGAGCAATTTCACACTAATATAACTGAGCATCTGCCCAAACCAGCTGTCCCAGATTCCCTCTCTCTTGGAGAGAATTCAGGGGCATTTGCTCTGGTTGTTCGAGGGCTCTTCATTTTATTATACAATTTGAAAATACAAGTCTCAGAACACCTTTCTTCCAAAATACGCACATGCTGCACAACTGCAGGATAAACCATCAGAAAGAGGAAAGATGTATTTCAGAAACTATTCTTGTTTATTTTTAAGTTCACCCATTGTGGCTGCTTTCTCTTAGCGAACAATGAAAATAATTATGGGTAAAATAAACTCCCAATGTGGTGAAAATGTAACAATTCAATTAGCAAGTGATCTTCATTAATTTGTAGCTGATTAAGTTGATTTGCTTTTATTCTTTCATCCATTTTATTTAATATATTTGACTTCTCATCAGTATGTGTTCTCTGAAAACTTTGAGAAATCAAGAGTAAAATCCAGCTAAAATGAAGTTCAGAAAGACCAAAGTTTAAGGGCTTTGGTATCAGTCCTAATAGGGTTATTGTTGAAAACATAAGAAAACAATTGACTACGAGTCAACAAATAAGTTAAGGGCATCATCTTCATCCATGTGTTTATTCAGTTTTGACCAATGTGAGCAAAATATTTCACTTCTGAGTAAGTATGCAAAGGATTGTCATCTTTGGCATTGAATATTACTGGGGCAGGAGGACAACAACTCTCCTTAATTTGCCTCGCACGCTACAAAATACCCTCACAAAGAAATTTTGTAGAGAATGGCCTGCAGAACTAGAAAACTGTCAGGTGCAAATAAACCAGAAGCATTTATTGAATTCAAAGCACAGAAGAGTTTATTATTTCCACCTCTGTGCAAGGCTTTGGTCAACTAACAATCAAAACTAAACTGGCTCTAGATATGTGTCAACAGATTTCACGGGGGGAGGGGTTAGACTTGGGTCTCTTGTGGCAATGCAATGACTCCAAACTGATGGCTTGTTTGACTCCAGCTCCTGAAATATATTTTGGTGGGATTTCTTTTCAGATTGGCATTAGGTCAGAGATCTGTACATTAGTCTGTGCACTTGGAACTCTTCAGCTTTATGTGCTTCAGAAACAATCTGCCTACCAAAGCTTTCAGAGCCCCTTTCATAGTAGACTAAAAGCTTAACCAAGAGGAAAAGCTTTATTTTCTATCAACTAGTATTGTTGCAGATTGCCACTCGTCTAGTCTGTACTTTACAAAATGAATAGCAAGCTAACAAGAAGTCAAGGTCTCTGTTGTATACATCAGACAAAGCATGTAAACCCATGAAATCTGAATGAAGAACCATTTCTTGACTTTTGAAGGAAATTCACATTTAGTAGAGGAGAGAATTAGACAGTATAGATCAGTGGTGGTGAACCTATGGCACGGGTGCCAGAGGCGGCACTCAGAGCTCTCTCTGTGGGCACGCGTGCCGTCGCCCCAGTCCTAGGCCTTCAGCTGGGTTTTATAAAATCTTTTCGCTTTAGGCCTCCGCCGCTGTGTGCAAAAAAAACCAAAAGGGTTCAATCAGTCAATTTCAACTTCTTACGGGGAAAAAAAAGATCTTGCAAAGTTGAAATTGATTGGTTGAACTTTTTAGTCCCACCCAGTCTGCCGTTACCACTGCAGCCATGCCCACCCAATGGGCCACACCCAGCCAATGGGACACACCCACCCGGCACTCGACGATGCATAAGTGGGTTTTGGGTTGCAATTTGGGCACTCAGTCTCTAAAAGGTTCGCCATCACTGGTATAGATCAAAACCACCAGCAGGGTTTTCACATCTAATATTTTAGCATTACCAAGCACTACAGCTCACTATTAGAACTTTTCTAGTGGTGAGTTCTCTGTTTCAGCTCCTTGTTGCCAATACTTGTTTGCCTACATTTTCTGAGTGAAGAAGCAAACAAGCAGTCAGGACCAGAAACATAGCGGAGAAGCTTCTGTTTCCATTTCTCTTTCTGCTTTGGGTCCAAAGTAAGAAAGCAAAAATGAAGAGTTGCAGCAGGAGTGAAAGCAACGGAGACTGTCAGACAAACATGCAAACCAGGAGCTCGCCCTCTTTGAAAGTGATGGGTCTTTCAGAATTGGGCCTTAGGACATGTTCCTACCATACATTTAAAACTAATGGTGTAGAAGGATAGCTCCTGTCATAGCCAGGATGCTCAGATGAGAGCACGTTATTTGTAGGAAGTAAGGATCAATGTGTTGATGTAAAGACTTGTCATCTGCCTTTAAGTTCTTATGCTGATTATTTCTTAACTCTGTGCCTTGCAATATATTGTCTTGAAATGAAATAGTTTGATGTAGATATAACATGTCTGAATGTGAAGTTTGTTGGACTGAGAGTGATTCATTCTGTTTTTATCCATGTCTTACCTCCCCCTTGACTTAGGTCTGCCTTATGGGTGGGAAAAAGCGTATACAGCAGATGGAATCAAATACTTCATCAAGTAAGTACATCACTTTCAGAAGGCAGTTATAAAATAGATATATAAAATAAAGGTTTATAGTGCGTATGGCCACTAAGAATATGATCACCATGCTAGTAAAAGCATAGAAATATGCTCTAGCTGGCACATACTTTGCAAGATCTTGGTAATGCATATCTGTAGAAATTTTGGGCATAGAAATGAGAATTATCTTTTAAAAATCAAGGGAAGCTTCTACTGATAGCATTTCTGTTATTGTGTTGTCTTCAAATTCTGTAAATCTTTTGCCTTTTACTAAGGATTTCCAGGGACAGGAACATTTTTACTGTGTTAGTTAGTTAAAAACTCTTTTCAGAATGCAGCTTAGAGGCTGGTCAATAAAGGTTATTCTGCTTCTTAGCATTTTGTTTCTATAAAAGTACGGGAACTATTTCTTCTTTCTGTCCTACACCTCCTTCACAATGGGGTGGGGATTGAGGTTGGTACCAGATGAGTTGTGTGCTTGTTTTTTATATTAATCAATGTCATGTCATCACTCAAAAGGTGTTATGCATTTATCAACAGCAAACTTTTATCACTGAAACAAAATGAATGTGTGAAATTTCATCTCACTCAATTCAAACAAATGACATTTAAAGATTTCCTCCAAAGCGTCAGGTAGAAGTGATACTGAGAAATATATTTTTGCAAAAGTCTAAAATAGGTTACTAATCCTCAGGAAGGATGGTGATCTCTCCCTTCTGCTCCCCCCTCCTCTTCTCTCCTCTCTCCTTAAAAATTAATATTGGTCCATTTTCTCATTTGTCATTTAAATCTTTGGTAATTAACAGTTTCTCTTAATAAGCTTCATTTGGAACAGACCAGTCCTGAAAGAATTTCGCAGACAGAAGCACTCTTAAAATAAATGTAATGGGCTGAAACAGGAGCCAGGACTGCCAAAAGGTCTCAAAAATTTAAAGAAATTTTTCAAAATTACATGTACATAATAAATATACACTAGCATCTTAAAAATAGTGACACAACATTTCCATTTATACAACACAGTCTTTATGAGTAAACATCAAAATTTCAGTCAGCTAATCCCGAAGAGAATGTGGCAAATTTTCTTTAGATTAGAACATACAGTGCACTTTTATGTTGTAGAGGAGCCAGAAGATTGAGGCCATATGGCACATATTTTCCTGACGGTTAGAACAATTAATCAGTGGAACAACCTGCCTCCAGAAGTGGTAAATGCTCCAACACTGGAAGTTTTTAAGGAGAGACTGGACAGCCATTTGTCTGAAATGGTATAGGGTTTCCTGCCTGAGCAGGGGTTTGGACGAGATGACCTCCAAGGTCCCTTCCAACTTTTTTTTATTGTTGTTGTTGTTGTTGTTGTTGTTGTTATTATTATTATTATTATTATTATTATTATTATTATATAGTTTGGAACTGCTCCCAATATTGCCTTTTTGGTGTTATTTGCTTCACTCGTAGCTTGTATATATTTGGCTGTTCCTGGGATATGGGTAGAAGTAGTTTGTTCCTCTTTTATCAGAACTGTCCACTGCTAAATAAAAGAGGCTTTAAATCTCCTAGTACTAAACAGTATCACATTAAACAATAAGCAGAACTTCCAATAAGATGACCAGAAAAGAGGAGTTGGCACTTCACTGGATGTCATCCGTTAGGTAGTTTTGGGATTGTTTTGCGTGGTCGCTTCTACACACCTGAGAACATTTTTTTAGTTTGGAGGTTTATTTACAATAACTATTTGAGAGAGAGAGAGAGGCAGATTAAACCAAAAGGAAAACCAAATGAGAGGGATGGTCCTCAGTAAACAAATTGGAGCTCAGCAGATATTCAGTCTTCAGGGACTTCTCCTTCACATAATAGTAGAATATTCTGTGGGAGGACTTCTGTCAAATAGCAGGAGAAACACTATTTTTAAGCTAGAACATTTTAGACTGGCTTCTGCCTGCCTCAGCAAAGAGTTAATGACAAGATGAAAGTGCCTTTGTGAGAATACCTCCTCAACAAACTGTTACTTGGTGTCCTTGCGCTGTGTCAAACAGGATGTATGGAAGAATCCATAGACAGGCATGAGTCAGCAGTCATCTCTCAAGGCCAATCAGTTATCCAGACCACAACCAAAAATTGCTGCCATCTTAAAAAAAAAGATTTCTTTTCCTTAAAAAAGAAGGTTCTCAAAAAGTATTTTTAATCAGATGGTCCCATACAGGCTTTAGTTTAGCACATATATACATTATATAAAGAAAAAATAGTGGAAGAAGTAAATTTCAGTCTGTTCTTTCAGTCTTTGGTATTTGAAATAGCTGCAGTTATGAGGGTCTTAAAATTATTTTCTGCTGTTCTGTTTCCAGTGAACAAAATTAGGAACATGACTTGGTTGTCATGGTAATTATAATTCCCCATATCATTCTAACTTTTAATCTACTATGCCTGAATCCTTCAGTTTATAGCTTGGGGCTATTCTCTCAATTGCATTTCAACTGAAGGTGATGGGTTAAATTAGATTTCATTATTGTAGGGCAGTGATGGCGAACCTTTTAGAGACCAAGTGCCCAAAAACTGGCCCCAACCCTGCTCCACCCCCTGCTCCGCCCCCACCCCACCTGCCCACAGGGCCACTCACCATCTCCAGGGCCCGCTGCAGATCGCCCAGCAGCGCCATGGCAGCCATGCCCTCTGCCCGCGCCCGGCAGCATCAACTGTGCGCGATGGGGCGTGAAGGCAGAGTCTTGTCTACGCTGCCTGGCTGCCATGTCCTTGGCTGCGCTGCTCTGCATGGGCCACACTCGGGGGCAACTCTTCTCCAGGAGGGCTGCTGGTGAGGAGGGGGTCACGGGGGGAAGCAAGGCTGGGGCAACGGCACATGTGCCCACAGAGAGGGCTCTGAGTGCCGCCTCTGGTACCCGTGCCATAGGTTCACCACCACTGTTGTAGGGAACGATACTAGTAAATGCAAGGGTATTATTAACTCAGCAGATCTCTTGAATCCATACGTTTCAATAACAATGAATGCAATAAATGCTTTATAAAAATGGCATCTGACTATTTTAAAACTGGAATAGTAAAGTCAACTCTTCTTCAAGTTTGAAATTGACTCATGCTGACCACACAGGGACAGCCATATTATTTTCTTGGCAGTGTTGTTAAGACACTTTCTGGAATGTTCTTTCAGTTTCCCAAACAAACCTACGCTTCTGAAATATACTGGTGATCTCTTATTACAGGCTGGCTTATGTTTGTATTGGAAAAGAACATGTTTCTGTCTATTAATATAGAAATATGTTCTAAAACAAAGGTATATAGCATAATTTATTAGGTGCTTTATTACATATGTCATAAGAGTTAATTACTTAATCTGAGATGTCAAACTTTTGTATAGATTACCCAATCTCTCTGTTAAAGTTGTTCTAGAACTTTAATTTGCATTATTTGCTAAGAGTGGCATATAAAATAATATTTGATCCTATAGTTATGCTATATGATCGCCAACATGATCACCAACATCTGATAACGGATATGGCACAAGAAGAAGATAGTTATGCTTGAGCTATAGGAGACTGCCACACAATTCAGTGTGAGCTTTCTTGCACAGAATCTTTTAGAATGAGTGGAGACTACAAAGTAACTAATGATTTGCACAGATTTTATTCAGTAAGACAAACATTTGAAAAAGACCATCCTTATAGGTATTCCCTTTGGAGTTTCCCATTAGGCCATGCAATATGGGCTGACATAATGAAGCTGCAACTAAGTATGTGACTAATTTTTCTACTGCAGTCATTGAATCAGCCTTCTTTTGGTGCATAGCAATATTTAGTTATAATTCTATTCTGCCCATTTTCCACAATATTACAATTTTAAAAGGAAAAGCTCATAAAAAGACAAATCTTTTTCAATCCAATTTTCCCTGACAATGCCTGTGTGTAGTTGTGTGTATAATTATGGGACCAAGAGCAGCATATGCATAATTACGAGAAGCACATACTGAATGACAATTGGTTTCTAATATTCTTATTAGCCTGAAAAGTGGAAGACTTAGGTCAGTGATGGCGAACCTTTTAGAGACCGAGTGCCCAAACTGCAACCCAAAACCCACTTATGCATCGTCGGGTGCCAGGTGGGCGTGGCCCATTGGATGGTTGTGGCCCATTGGGTGGGCGTGGCTGCGGTGATAACAGCAGACTGGGTGGGACTAAAAAGTTCAATCAATCAATTCCAACTTTGCAAGATCTTTTTTTTTCCCGCGAGAAGTTGAAATTGACTGATTGATTGAACCTTTTTTTTGTGTGTGTACACGGTGGCGGAGGCCTAAAGCAAAAAGGTTTTATAAAACCCAGCTGAAGGCCTAGGACTGGGGCGACGGCGCGCGTGCCCACAGAGAGGGCTCTGAGTGCCGCCTCTGGCACCCGTGCCATAGGTTCGCCACCACTGACTTAGGTCAATTCGAAAACGTAGCTCAACTACAGTCATACCTCAGCACTCAACTGCTCCAAACTCTTCAAATTCGGTATTTGACGCATTTTGAAGCAGAAATCATGTCCTGGCACTCGTCTTTCTTCCAATCATTGACACACAAGGAAGAACTTGCTGACGTCAGCTGCTTCATGACTTGCTATTTCTTCCAGTTGAAATGGTCACATGATAAGTCATGTGGTTTTCTTAGTACCCATCTGTTTTAGTATTGCATCTTCTGGAATGAATTACCAATGAGTACCAAGGTACCATTGTACATTTTTTCCTATTCCTCCTCTTCATTCTCAAGGACATCCAGGATAAGGACTGTATTGCTTAAACTGAATGATGGTAAATGGTTTTAAAGTTGATTGCATACGTCTGATATAATGCAGCTAAAGCTTAATTGAAAGTTTATGCATTCTGTGGTGATTATGTTCAATTCATATCCTGTGTTTTGCAGCTTTTTTTGATTAATATTCAAGCACATTTCTGCAAAAATAAGCGATTGAAGTGTAAACCAAAGAGAAATAGGGTAAGGTATTTAATATGGC